GCTGTGTGCTCCAGCTGCGGTTGGAAGGGTGCTTTCTTCCTTCCAGATTTCCATCCTCGGGGCCATGGCCGGGCTTCCCCGCAGCAAAAGCAGCCGCCCCAGGGCTCCTTGTCCGGCTCCCTGAGAACTTTCTCTTCTTGATCTGTAGAGAAATCCGCGTTTTTTGTGGGGCCTTGGCGAGGGGAGGGAGAGGCGAGCAAGGATGCGCTGAGAACAGCGAGGGCGCACGTCCTGAGCACGGCCGTGGGTCCAGGTTCAGGAGCTGAGCTGCCTCCTGCTGCCTCGACTTCCCTCCTGCGCGCCGGCCGCTGTCCCCCCTGGATGTGCCGAGAGAAGCTAGACATCATGATCCTAACACGTAAGCTAGCCTTGCGCCTTGCTGTCGGGCAGCGGGGGCGTCAGCCACGGAGGGGGAAATGTCACCCGGCCTTTGCCAAGTCGGCGACCGTCGTTCTTTGCTTTGGAAATGCTTGCTGAAGAATCGCCCGAGTTTCTTGGGAACGGCCTGCGTGTGAGGACTTCGGGTGGTGTCTCTCAACCGCGCACTGCCTGGGGACCGCAGGCTGGTGCCCCGATGAGCCTGGAAGGGATTCGGGCTCGGGGCGCGCCGGGGTAGGCGGGAGTGCAGGACTAGTGGCTCTGATAGTCATTCTAAGTCCCAGGCGCTTCCCTCTGGTTCAAGGGGCGCAGAGGGTGCCCTTTTTACTTATCGTTCCTTGGGGGACCGTCCTGGGGCCGTTACTTGTGGTCCTTCACCCTACAAGTCCAAAGTCAGCGCCTATTTCAGGAATGTTGTAGATGTTAGTGGCACTTGCAAGTGTTTTTAAAAACACTGCTTGAGAGGGTAGTCACCAAAAGATGGTTTTAATTTCAAACCTCTGCTGAAATATTGTGAAGGTTGAGCATTAACTGAGACTGAGCCAGGAAAGTCTGGGCTCTCTGGCTGCCCGGTGCGTGGAGAATGTGGACGCGCGTTAGCCAGCCGCGGGCGCACATGTGGGGTTCCTGCTGGGGAGGCTGCGCCCCTCCGCCAAGCGCTAGGCCCTGGACCCGGTTCCTGAAATACCCCACGGGATGTTCGCCCTTGGCTGCCGACAAGGAGCCCACGGAGCTAGTCCGGGGGCCGGAGAAAGGAAGGAAGCTCGCCGCCAGACCTGACTTTTTTTTTTGTAAAGAGGCAACGGCCTCTTGGAACCCTGCCCACTCTGTGTCCCTGATCCCACCTCCAGCGTCAGGGCTCGAGCCTTTGATCCTTGCGGAGGAGTTGCACGCAGGCCAGAGCCAACCCCCACCCCGCCGCATGTGTCTGTGTTTGCACGTGGTTCAAGAGCACAGCCACTGGTGCGAGGGGGTGAGGCTGGCGGGGTCGGATTCCTGGGTCTGCAGCCTGCTAACGAGACAAACCCAAGGAGTGACAGAACTCCACTGTGTCCTGCAACACGGGGGTAATAACTGTTGGCCGAGCGTTTCGAGGATTGCTGAGCTAATACAAGTAAAGGGCCTGGCAAGGTGTCTGGTGCTGATGTTCAGCAAAGTCCATATTTATGCTGATAACTGTAGAAGGAGGCCCTGCTAGTCGTTAATTTCCAAGGTGGAGCGGAAGAATTTTATCCAATGTCATTTTTGTTTTCGTCCCCAGTCTTTTTACCTCAATACGGTCATCAAATGGGTTCATTTTCTGCAGTCAGAGGTTATTTCGAGAGGTTAATGGTGATTCAGAGGAATGCAGTGTAGACACAGCTATCCATTACCTAAAGACTGGTGGAGCATATGTGACGCACTTGAATAGAAAAAAAAAAAAACAGATCTGAAGAGTCTCAAATTACACCCCCCCCAAATTCTGTTTGCTGAAGGGATGAGGGAAAATAATAGCTCAGCAGAGGGCAGCTCCCTGAATGTAAATCTATCAGCGGTTCCAAGAAGCTGACTAACTCAGCACCCATCTGGACTGCAGGCTGGTCCTCAGCAGAGATAATTTGCAGACCATACGTGTGGAATTAATGGACCCACCCAGTGCCATCTTGGCCTGCAGACTGCGGCAGATGGTCAGAGGGTGCCGCGTGAGCAGCCCCTCTCATGGAAGGTCTGAAGTCCGGAGGAAGAAGTGTCCAATGGTTAGCAGATGTGTGATCAGAAGTCATTTCAAGACATTTTCTGAAAAAGGTTGGCAATTGCGCGTACTCACTTTATTGCAGCATGAGAGATTCACAGCACAGCCCAGGCCTGAGTCCATGCTTTTTTCATTAGCACTACCGTTCCGAGTTTTAAATGAAGCACAGCAGGCTGACTCTCCCAGCTGTTATTCAAAGTTTGCTTTGGATAAAAACTGATTTTATTTTAATTCCAACTGAATGGCATCTCTCTCTAAATAGACTGGAAGCTCGAGGTTGTAGGGCGATTGCCAGCTTGTTTTTCTCCTCCACAGAAGTGGAGTAGGTAGACTTCAATTTAAATCCCTGGAGCGGATGAGGAAAGGAGCTTTGGTGACTCTTGTCTTAACTTTCCAATTGTAGATCTCATAATCTGCACGCAGACCTTCAATGTGAAAAACTTAAATGGCTAAGCAATGAACTGTCACTAATTGAAGGCCACATTTCAAATTTTAATATACTAGACCAGTCAAATCAAGGAATTTTCCTATAGTTCTGGAACAAATGTGAGGGGCTGTTTGCCCTTCAAACAATAGCCTTTGTTTGTTTGTTTGTTTATAGTCCGAAGAACAAAGACAAAAGTTTCAAAGAGCATGTTTACATTTAGAGATGTTTGGGCACTTTTGGAAAATGTACCAGATTGATAGAAAGATGTGTTCTGGTTAAAAAAGCTATGAATATGAAGTGCATTTAAAAATGTATGTAGTACTTAAACTCTTATTGTAGAAACATTATAGGGCTTAAAGGGGTTATGGGGAGGCCTGGGTAAGATGCCTTCCATTCTGAAGTTTGGTAGGATTCCAAGAGGTAGTTGCAAATACAAAAATAAGTACTTGAGTTTCCCTGGGTGTCCCCGTGGAGATTTTAAGCCATGATGCAATGTTTAATTGAGAGCGGTATTTTTATGACTTAGGCACATAAATATGCAATTTGAAAATATTCAGGGAAAGGTTATTTGGTCCATAAAAATGAGGACACCCAAAGTCCAGTGAGTGAAGTGAATTAGATTTTGTTGAAGAGAGCCTTGTTCTAGACAGGATGGTCCACTATTGTAAACACAAGTTTCTCATGCTTAGCTCTCCTTCCTAGCAACAGGAAGACGGAAATGAGGCCATGCTAAAAAAGAAAGAAAGATCCTGAAGGGCTTCAGACAATACTTGATCCACCCTACTATTCACCCTGTACAGCTAGAAGACCTGCAAAAGTAAAAATAACTTCAGATGTTTCCCCTTCCTCCCTGGATATTACCAAATCAGTAGACTGAATTCTCAGTGCTTTAGAACATCATCGCAAGACTTGGCGCCACGGTCTGAGTGGCAGCCAGGCTCATCCTGCCAGCTCTTCTGGAGATTACAAAGTAGAACTGGGGAGAAAGATGATTTTCGTTTTAATGCTCACACAGTCCATTGATCAGGATGACTTGAATTGGAATCCGATGGGAGAGAGAGAGAATTGCTTTAATTTCTAAACGTAGTTTTACCTCTGGATCTTTCAGACTGCTTGTGTTTACCAGGATCTGCTCCTACCACTTTTAGTTTGGAATTTGGGAACAACAAGATAGAAGAATAATCTATATAGCATTCAAGACTAAAGCAAAACAAAAACAAAAAGGCCCTGTGCTTCCTGTGGTGGTCAAGGTCAAGTTACAATGAAACTATAAAGTGTTAGTGACTCTTCTGTCCTGAAAAGCACAAAACCCTCAGTGGAAGCCCAACAACATGGGTTGGACCAAAACATACATGCTGTGTTTTCAGTGCATACATACTTTATCATATAAAGTTTAATTTTATAAATTAGACCCAGTAAGAAATTAACAGCATTAATAATAAGATAGGACAAATGTAACAGTATACTGTAATAAAAGTTATCTTAGATTTATGAACTCTGTATTTCTGCAACGGTTCTCTGGGTATTTTCATATCCCAGGTAGTACTACAAGTAATTGAAACTCGAAAAGAGGGACTGGTGTAGTCTGAGATTCAATTAAGACAAAAGGGGTGAGGACCCCGCTGAGGAGGGCCGTGCTGTCTGTCAGCAGTTTTTCCTTGGTGGGACCTTGTGTTATTATTAGGGATTATTCTGATCAATGATAAGGGTTAGTGAGTCTTAGGGGAGGGATTTTAATTAGGTCTGCTCTGTTGTAACCTTCTTTTCACCTGATATATTTTTCCTGCAGACAGGAAGGTATCCCAGCATATTTACCCTATATATTTTTATGGATCTTCACAAGAAACAGTCATACTTTCCGAGAACAGCCCGCACAGAACCTTGCAATTATTTTGCAGTTTTGGGGGGAGGTCTTGTGCTCATAGACAGGGAGCTATGACATTAGGTTCTGGAAGGACAAATTAGAATTTGCTCTCTAGGGCCTAGTGAATGGAGATAGAAGCTGCTGGTCTTTCTCATTTGGGGAGGAGTCGATATCCCATTTTCTGAAAGCCTAGCCTCTATTGATTGTACAACAATGCTTTCTTCTGTGAAAGTAGTTCAAAATTATAATTCTAATGGAAACGTTTCTGCCAGATGTCACTGAAAATATTTGAATGGCATTTTGAAAAATTCCTGCCTACTAAAAAATAGTTCCAAGTCAACTATTAAGCCTGGCTGAAGTCAAGCCAGTACAGCAGAAATCGGTTTCTCTCAGTCGTGTACCCTTGGCTTTTCCTCTGCTCCTAGACTTAGTTTCTTAGTGGACAGTGAGCTCTTTTCCTTTTATGTGTCCCTCTGTGTGGCAGCCTTTCCATGCCTGCTCCCTCCCCGGCCCTGAGACCCAGAGAAAAATCAAAAGCCTAATTGAAGGCTGAGGCCAGTGAGGCTAAGTCTTCAGATGCCTTTGACACCTCCCATCCACATTTTGTTCTCTCCCCTGCCCCACCTCTGAGTGTCCTGTGGAGGTCGCTTCCTGAACCTTGTCAGAAAGGCGCCTTCCTTGTTCTGCAGGAGACTAAAGGATGTCTAAGGGACAAAAGTTTTCCACACCCTGAAGTTGTAGCATTTCCCAGGCTCGCAGCCCTTAGCCAGAAAGGAAGAGACTTGGGAGGTAAAATGGCCTGTGACCCATGCACTGGGCTGCTCTGCGGCCACAGTGTGCCTTTGTCACACTCAAGTGACCAATAGAAGATGTTAAAGTCCTAAAATCATCTTTACTTCCTGGATCTGGAAAAAGATGCATGCACAACTCCCTTTTTCAAACTATATAGCATGGAAA